GGTTCTTTATAGTGCACACGAGCCATTGTATACACTGGGCCTACGGTTTATAGTCCTTATCCGAGAAGACTTTTTCTACCACCAGAACCATAGGCGAGCGTGCCGTTCGAACCAGCGCCGATATTATGGCTATAGCTTGCGGCGCCCCTGCTAACCGCTCGGCCATTCGACTCACCATCCATTTAATGCTATAATTGTGATGGTTTCATAAAACATATTGATTGTCATCACTAACATTGTCCTCAACACTGTATCATCATCATCTTCATATTATTATCATCATCACCAAGAACATCATGATAACCCTCATCATCATCATCCCCACCATATTCATCATCATTCCATCATCTTCATAATAATCATAATCTTTATCATCATCATCATCATCATTATTACCAACACCATTATCATCATTGCCGTCAGAACTTCATCACATCACCCATCACGACAGAAATTAGGTTAAAGTAGGCCTTTTATTATAATACACATAATTTAATACAATTTGATATACAGTATCTATATTATAACTTATTTCTCTGAAATCTTAATAACATTAAATTTTGTATTCTGAAACGTTTTATTCAAAAATAGGAATATTATGCTCAATAGAGCCCGCAGTCACATGACAAACCAATGGCAAACACTGAATTAAGGCTACATCTGTGCTGTTTTCAATGCATATAAATAATAATAAATAATAATAATAATAATAAAATTAATAATAATAATAACTATAATAACTAGAGAGTGCTCTCGCTTGCCCTCTAGTATGTTAAGCATCGCGATTAGTTTTGATAAAATAGACCAATTTATGACCACTAACGTTATGCATTATGGTGTCCTCATCAGAATTCATTGATCACAACTGAGCTGTATCCAGCAATGGCTCCAGAATTGTCCCTATATAGGGTTCAAAAAGTCTGATGGGGTCTGAACCAAGCAGCCATCTAGAGTCTTGGTCAATGCACCAGACTGATGGCCTGAGGTCCCTGGAGAAAGATCTTATTGTTTAAGATGTGCCAAAATTGTGGCTTTAGATAACAATATTATAGATTTGCCTATCACAATAACTTTGGATAAAATTATTTATTTGTTTTAGTCCCACAACCTCATTGTGGTTGTATCTAAGATTTTTAAGGGAAGGTGTGTTAAAATTGAAGTGAGCTGAATTTTTGTAAAGGGTCTGTCAAGGATTTCTGTTTTGGTGTTCCACAAGGGGCAAAGCATACTGAAAGTGAGTGAGAAGCTCATAATAAATTGCAAAATCTCTTCTTAATCTTAATTATGATTTAAATTTTCAGTAACTAGTTTAAACCTAAAAATAGGTACAGTATGTATTTTAATTTTTTTTAAACATTGAATAAAATTACAGACATGTTCCCACATTGGGTTGAATGATTCAGCATTTTCAATTTTAATACAGGTATATTTCTATTTACTACACCTACTTGAAAGCTTGTAGACTATAATTTTACAATCATGAAGGTCTCAATACACTCCAAATAGTATTTTAAGTAACAATAGACAAGTCTTACTGTATTTCACTTCTCGAACTGTCACTTAAAAATGTTTTCTTAACTCCATACATCATTGGCCACATTCGCAATTAAAATAATATACACCAGGAGGTTTTTCTTTCTTTTTTTTTAAATCCATTTGCAAGAGCAAAATAAAATTATGAACACTCCTTATAGACAATGTTTTGGATGGTTAGGAGAATAGAACCTCACATAATTTAGTTTGTTTTAAATTAAATTTTTCCAGTCAATGAAACTGGAAAATTGAACAAGATAATGTTTGTTAGTTCTCATATGCCATACTACACAAATGCATCTTTGTAGTACAGGAAACTGTAATATTTGACAATAGAGGCCTCACTACAAAGAAGAACTACAACAAACAAAATTTTGGTAGGTATGGAAGACAATCCTATCTAAATCACAATACTACCATCACCTACACTTTTCTCGTATTAAACTACACATATTATATACAATTATATTTACTTCATCAAATTATAAATAACAGTTTAAAAACAAAATTTATGCTCATAATTGAATAAGGTAATTTACAAACATAACAGATTAAATTAACTATATGATTCTCTATTCTCTAAATAGTCTTACTAATGTTTAAACAACCCTAACATTTCTTTATTCAAACCAACACATAAACATACTGCTTTAAAATAATTTTCATTATATCATTTTTTCTTTATGTTGTTGGTATTTGAATAGTAGTATTTTATTTAATAGGCTCATGAATATGTAATCTAAATGTTTCATTATATCTTGTGGTGGCCTTTTTCTAAATATAAATTAAATTTTTCATTGTATTGCTTATATACTGTCTCAATAAATACTTTATATCCTGTCTCTTATACACATCTTATATATTGATCACTTTTGCTAATTTCCCACAAAACGACAGCATAAACCTATGCTTTTCGACACATGTGCTTGTGGGAAAAAGAGCATATTCCCTCTCCTCTTCTGTCGGTAAACTATTAAGTTTGATTGATATTTCCAGAAAGGTTCAATTTAACATAGACTGTAAACCAATAACAATACCATCGCATTATTATAATACAGTTGAACTTGCCTAAGTCAAATCCAAAATGGCATTAAAAGAGTGTTTGACTTTGATAAAATTCGACTAACAGATTGTTATTTAATGGGAAACAACAATTTGGCATGTAAAATAAGATTAACTTAGAAATTATTCGAGTTAAGACAAAGTGGACTTAATTAAGTTTAACTTTATTAAAATTTACTCACAATTTAGTGAGGAATAACTGCTTTCTTAAGGTAAATTGAGGGGCTGGCACCTGCTTATAAGTACCTTCACTTTCTCTAGCAATGGCTTTGCTCACCTCATTATTCACATGTGTCAGAATATCTAGAATATGATGAGTGTTGTGATAATGTTGCAAAGCATTAGTCAGCTTTGATATGTACCAAGAACCTCGAGACCTACTGCGGAATGACACATTCCCAGGAGCTGTGGCATAGCCAAGCAAGAAATCTGCGTCATCGGGTATGTTATCGGTACCAGACTCTGCGGAATCCACCTGAAAGTGTTCAAAATCTTCAGCTTTTCGACTGCCTTGGCATGCTTGCAGAAAGAATAACTTTGGTTTGCCAGCAAGACTGGGGCAATACCGAGGCCGAAATGGACTGGTGAAGTCTAATATTTTGCAGGATATTTCATCGCTACTAAAAATGGTTCCCAAGTCTCCGTGAGACAACATACAGCAAACAAAACAATCATAGTTTGTATGATCCATTCGACTAACATCCTCTACCTGACGCTTCATGTCCTCAGAAGTTGCATTTCGTCTAACAATAACTTGAAATCCCAAATATTTGAATAGAAACTTTAGACTATCTGTTGATGAGAAATTTCAAATAGGTGTGAGTTCTATTTCTTTTATTATTATTTAATAAAATTACATTAGCATTTCTATTGTCTTCTCATCTAACAGGAAATGTCTCAACATTTTACATGATAACAATAATAATGAATTCAGAGACGCTTACTATATAATTTCAAAACAAAATTTAATGACAAGAAAGATCGACGTTTCGGGTCCATCATGAAACCATTCTCAAGATCAAGTAAATTGAAAAAACAAAAAACAAATACCAAGCAGTGACAGGAAGTAAGTAATTAATTTACATATCAATAGGGCCTACTGTGTGGAGCCATTGGTGGAGCTAAGCAATAATTAGCCCTTCTTAGCAGATTAACTAGATAAACAGTTTGGCTTTCACTGAATCAGTTTGTTTGTTATTAGCTTGGTTCACGTCGAACTTTATCTAGATATACCCGTCTTGAAACATGATACGATAATCCCCTAATTGCGTTCGATGGCAAGTTAGAGCCAGATAAACAGCCAGCCAGTTTCAGGCCGTCGACGTCACACGGTCGAAAGGCTTGTTTAATAAAACATCTACTGTATTTTACGAACCTCTAGTACCAAGTGGTATTCGTTCAAAAATGTCTCTTATACACATCTAGATGGAGTTTCCACTACCTAACCTAGCCGACCAGTATGAACCAACGACCAGTACAGTAGCGTGTTCTATCGCAATCTAAGTGGTAGCTTCTCTAGGCCCTGGCCCTAGCTACATTTACCTTCGATAAAAAACAAATTATTATAATCGCTAGCTAGCATTCTTCCATTTAACAAAATATTGTTTTAATTTTCATTAAAACGTATGTATACTTTATGGACCTTTCTGTCCTGTTTTGTAGTTTTTAGATCGCTCAATTGTGTTGTTTACATGCACTTCGCGAAAATCTAGCTTCGCGGTGCCAGATAGTCGACAGTCTTCACGGCCAAACACACGCCATCTCATGGCCAAATTCGGACAAACTTGTTTTCGATATCGGCCAAAATTTGGCCAGATTTTAATCCGATTAGAAGACAAAAGTGGGTACATAATTACACAAAAATCAGCGGTCATTCGTTCGAAATTTAAGAAATTCAAATGATATACACAGAACAATGTTAAACTTTCAAACTATTTTTCATCTTTTAATTATCACCATAAAATACATGCCCAGCTACATCATTATAAATAGCCTATGTTCTTTAGTTGCTGGCATGTAGGCCAATTCAGGGGCGAATCCACAGATGTCCGAAGGGGGAGGGGCCGGGACCGAAAAAGATAACACCATCTTCGAGAAATTTTTGTTTTCTAGATGCCCGAAAATAACTTCTGATGCGTTTGGGCGATCAATTTTTCTTTATTTACTTTTTCTTTTTTTTTTCTCTGCTTTTTAAAGTCACATTATTAAGATTGATCTAAATTTGATTTAAATGTATTAAATATTAAGGTACATTGTAGTCGATCTATAGCATAGTTACCATACTGTCTCGCATTTCAAAGTGATTTTGGATGAAACACACATTTTGCAGAAACACATGCGTGATCCATAATTTTTCACGCATTTAGCACAAATTTATGCGTGATAACGAATTATCACGAATTCAGGGGAATGTATTTATAATTAAAAGAAATTGGTTTTATTTAAAAAATATATATAAATAATCATGTAGAAAAAATTCAACTGAATAGAAGCCAATTTATCAAAGAAA